TGCCCCTCTGTACACTACACAGGCCACATAGCATTGCTTCCATCAGCCCAAACTTGGACTCCTCCCACAAAAACAGGCACTACTCTCCCATCCATGTTGTCCTATCCAAGAGACTGAATGACTCCAAGATGAGTGACTGACACAATGTGATATGAGAAACCACATTAATATCTAGAATGATAACGGGATTAGAAGAGCCCAAGAAGTTGGTGGATGGCAACATTGGGGAGATGTTAGAAGAAGCTATCCCTGGATGGCATGGATCTTTGAAGAACAGAAGAAAGGCTAGAGACGGAAGAGTGGTATTCTTGAGTGGCAATAGAGTATTCAGAGAAAAACAGCTGCCCCTAGAATCTAAAGACCGTGGACCTTGGGTGGGTTGTAGCTCAGTGGCAGATTATGTACTCTGCATTCACAAGGCCCTGGGTTCCATCTCTAGCATCATGAAAAAAAAAATTTAAAGCTAATTAAACAATGATAATAGATCATGGTAAAATGAGTATTCCCACCATCAGCAGCCCCTCTATTTCCTTCTATCCCCAACCCCCACACTTTACAGAGGCTTGTAGAGGAAAGATGAAAGAAGCAAAGTTGCATTTATTCTTACAGATACATTTTAGAATTTGTCATACTGTTATGCTTACCAGTTGGGTAACTCCTCTGTCAGCTTGGGAAGCTTTGATATGGTGTTTTTTCATTTGTTCTTGTGTTTTTTATTTGTTTGTTAATTTTTTTTTTTTAGGACTGGGGATTTTTTTCAGGACTTGCACATGCTCTACACTGAGCTACACTTCCAGTCCTTGTTTATGTTTATTTTGAGACAGGGTCCCACTAAGTTCCCAGGCTAGCCTTGAGCTTACAATCCTCCTGCCTCAGCCTCCCAAATAGCTGAGATTACAGGTGTGCACCACTGCACCTGGCCATTCATACATTTTTCACATCTCATTAAACTTTTTGTTTTGTTTTGTTTTGCAGTAGTGAGGATCTGAGCTACATCTCCAGCCCTTGGTTTTATTTTATTTCATTTGTTTTATTTTGAGACAGAGTCTCACTGAATTATTGAGGCTACCTCAAGATTGCAATCTTCCTGCCTCAGCCTCCAGAGTCACTGGGATTACAAACATGTAATCCCAGCAGTGTGTGTGTGTGTGTGTGTGTGTGTGTTTTGCCAGGGCCTTTTGCATGCTAGATGAGCACTCTACCACTGAGCCACATCCTCAGTCTTCATTAAACTTTTGATACATTCTTCACCTGCAGCCTATAGATTATTGCTGAATTTAGTGAAGCTGTTTAGTATTTTCAAATAATTTCCTGTTAATCATTGATAAGATATAGAAAAGCTTTATAATTTCTAAATATCGACTTTATAATATCTCATTAATTTTTCAGTAGATTCCTTTGGGTTTTCAAGACAAACATATAGCTCCGCATAATTCTTTAGTAATTTCCTGCAATGATATATTTCATAATATTGAAACATTTTGCATCCTTGAAATAAATTGTATGTGGTAGAGGTATAGAAAATAATACTGGAATTTTTTTAATCTTTATTTTATTTATATGTGGTGCTGAGGGTCAAACCCAGGGCCTCACACATGGTAGATGAGTGCTCTACCTCTGAGCCACAACTCCAGCCCAATACTGGAATTTTTAAAAGCCCCTGATTTAATTCACATTTTGAAATTAATTTTTTACAAATCATTTGACACATCAAAACTGAAATAATTCTATATATTTGTCAGCTTTTGTGATTTGGTATCAAGGCAATGTTTATTTAATAAAACAATGAGGAAATATTATATTTGTTTCCTGCAAAACAGTTTTTAAAAAGAAACCAAAAGAATTAAGTATTGTTGAGCCAATCACCAAATAAGTGTGGAAGAGTCCATTTCAAATAGTATAATATGTGTATTAACCTTTGGGAGGTATTAGCTTGGCCCACAGAAATCAGAGGAGACCCCATCATTCCATCTTCCTTTCCCAGATATCAAGTTAGTGATCTCTAAAAACAGATGCTAATTATTCACATTCCCATTGAGCTCTGGAAAAATATGGACACTACTTTTGAGTGAAAGCTATGTGCTTCAGCAAATTCACTGGAAATTTGTATTTTGGAGTATCCTATTTATGAATCCAAAGATTGCTGCCTACATCTACACTAGCATTATCCAACTTTTGTAAGGAAACATGAAATTCAATCCTGAAATCGCACAAAATACTAACATAATGTTTAAACAACTGTAACTTTTTGTCTTGTAATGAATCTTTTTCTATTTTACAATTTTACATATGATTAGCATGCAGATCATCAGGCAATTGCAAAAGCCTGAACTTATGATAAAATCATACAAGCAAAATTTACCTTATTTCGGCTTCAGAACATTGGAATACTATTATTTCAAGATTGAATGTTATATTTATGCTTAAGTGTTTCCTTAAGTAAATTTCCAGAAGATTGTTCCCTAATCTTGAGTGAGCATAGACCTCTCTAAAAGGACAAAACCTTCAGGAAAACACTGGTGCCCCTCTGTAGCCTATGAAATTTGGAGTTACAGTATAACCAAATAGGGGTGGAAAGAACTGGACTTAATAGAATCCTGCAACTTTAGGATCTGGAATATTAATCAGTGGTTAACTGCAAACTGATCTCTAAATTACAATCCATAGGAATTCCTACCACAACTTGCTGATTTCAATACCCTTCCTAACAGTCACTTGATTCAAACCTCCCATAACTATAGGAAAACTCTTCTTTTGGGGGGTTACCAAGGTGTAATTTCTTTTAAAAGACATTACTGTTAACATTTTTTATTCAAAATGCTAATAGCTTCAAAATGTTATGGTTATAAAGTATTGCACATTCATTGTGCAAAACGACCAAAAGTTATATGAATACATCTAGAAATCACCTGAAATCTCCCTTCACCAGAAGTTCTGCAACTGTTCACATTTTGGTATAGCTCTTTATAGATTTTCCATTCAAAAAACTTGAAAAATGCTTTAGTTCACTTACAATGTATTAAAAATACTTATCTACCAAATCTATATTTTATATATTTCTTTTCAAATACCTATTGGAGGGGGGCTGTTTTATTGCATCTCTTTTTATTTTATTTTTATTAGTGCATTGTAGGTATACATAATAGTGGAATTAATTTTGACATAATCATACATATATGAAATACAATTCACTTTATTTCAGTCCCTAGTGCTTCTTCTTTCTTTTCCCTCCTCCCTCCCTCTGCTTCCCTTTCTTTACTTTACTGGTCTTCCTTATATTTCTTTTTTAAGTTCATGCTTTATAAATACACATAAAGATGGAATCCACTGTGGTATATTTATATATGTACATAGCATAATTTTGTCAATTTCATCCATAGTTCCTCTCTTTTCCTGTCTTTCCTCCCCTCCCCTGCATTCTTCTTCCTCTACTCCACTGATCTCCCCTATATATTTGTGGGATCCACTCTGCTGCCTTTTCCCCCTTTATTTTGCTCTAGCTTCCACATAAGAGAAAATATTTAACCCTCGACTTTCTAAATCCAGCTTATTTCACATAGCATGATATTCTCCTCTTCCATCCATTTACCATCAAATGTATCATTTCATTCTTCTTCATGGTTGAATAAAACTCCATTGTGTACATATACCACATTTTCTTTATCCATTTTTCTGTTGATGGACACCTGGGATGGTTCTATACCTTGGCTATTGTGAATTAGACTGCTATAAATATTGATGTGCCTGTATTACTATAGAATGCCAGTTTTAGTTCTTTTGGATAAATATGTCATTGCATTCTCTTATATGGAATAAAAAATATGTACCTAAATCATTACATAAGACTCAGAAGAATAAAAAAAAACTCTATGTGAGTTAATATTACTTTAATAGTCATCAATAATAGTTTATTATGTTTTACAGTTGTATTAAAATAATGCAATTCATGATTTGCTATTATTTGTAAAGCCACCCAAAACTTCTTACCTATTTTATTTCCTTTTCTTCCTCTCTTTTTCTACTTCTACACTCCCGCCATCTCTCTTGTGGTCCCTACCTCAGGGGAGCGCCCCTGAATTTTAGTGCTAAAAACTTGAATTCTATCAGCCTAATGATTAAGGCTGACTCTTCTAGGATTCCATCAGAATAACTTTTTGTGAAAAGTACAAAAAAAAACATAAATACAGTCTCTTTGTTTATATGTGTGAGTGTATGTAAATATTCATAAAATACTATGAATGGAATCATGAAGAAACTGGTATTATCTGGAAAGGAAATGAATGGTGAGGAGCGGGAGCCACAAAGGGAAAAAACTTTTGATTACAATTCTTTTCATGCTTTATGAATGTTTTGTAATACAACTCGTGCAAAAATATTTAGGATTAAACTGTAGCTATATATGTATCTGCAAATACACGACATTCTTAGGTTAATAAAGCATGAGCTCTTTATCAGATTTCATGGCACACTAAGCATCCAGAGAAATGAAACCACTACCTGCCAGTGTTACTTTAGGGATCTGCAATGGAAAAATACTTTTTTTTCTCTCTGAAAATAGTTTTAGCTGCCACTCTATGGAAGGGTGCAATGACAGATTTAGAGTACCAAGTCTGAATCAGTGGCCTGGCAAAGACAGAAGAGTGCCATTTCTATTCTGGTGTTATGTTTGGTTTGTTGACCCTGCACGCACGCACGCACACACACACACACACACACACCACATACACAGGTGTAGTGGAGACATTATCTGTGACAGTTTCTTAGTTGCATTGGGAACAGCTGCCTGGAGGTATGAAAAATGACAAGAATTCTAATTTCAACCTTTGTCTTCTTTGAAACATAAGTTACCCTGGTTTTTGGTTATGTAAATTGTATTTGTGGCCTTCAGGCAACATCTGTGTGGCAGAAATGCAATTCTATTTTGAGAATTAGTAATATTGACATATGCAGGACCTAAATGCCCTTGATTTTTTCCTCATTTTCTTGCTCTTTATTTGCAGGTAGTGAAATCAAAGTTATCCCAAGAATTCCACTTTATTAAAATGAAAAGATCAAAGAATCATACAGTGGGAAAATATTTCAGCAATCAAAGTAAACTACAACAAGACTTTGTAACAAATCTTCAATCACCATATCATGTCAGAGGTCCAATAAATCAGGTTTGTTCTGAAATCCTTCTCAGCAGGATGTGTGCAAGTAAAAGGACCGTGCGGGCTCCCTAAAGAGTAACTGAGTTTGGAGATGGAGACAGGCTTCTCACCTGGATGATGGGCAGAGAACCAAACAACGTGCCTCACTTGTATTTCAGATCAACCACACACTCATGCACACTAGCACACACCTGCACACCAATGCATATTTTGCTTTAAAAAAAAAGAGTAATAAGTTTTTCCTATAGCTTTACAAAGTCAAGATGTGAATTTGAACAATTAGTTGGTTTTAGAGTGAATGACAAAGCTAGAAAATGATTACTTGAAATATAATCAAAATCTAGGACCACCGTGGGCCGGGTATTGCCTTTTGATCATAAACAGGAACATAGACACTTGAATTAAATGGGAAAGAGGATCAGGCTCTTCAGTATTGTGTTAAATTCTCTGCAGGTACATTGATTTTAAAATGCAAACAAGCAATTACATTCCACGTGCAAGTAGGAATTTTGCTTATGTTCTTTACCAGGAGAAAATGTGGCTTTTAGGAGGACTTAGACTTTGTGAATCTTATGCTTATGAAAAACATTTCTTCTTTAACTTTTAAAATTTTATAACTGAAAGGGAAACAACAGAAATGCTGCCCTACAAGGACTTTGAAGAGATTCTATGAGAGAAATAGGAAGTGAAATATTTTACAGTTAATACACCAATATTTAATTCTTTACTCCTTGTGTTTTTCATAAACATTCCTTCCTGTCTTGTCTGTGAACCTAGATGGGTAACTGCAGTCTAAATTGATGATTTAGATAATTTTAAAGCAAGGAACAAAATACAGTTCCTCATGTATTACTTTATTATGTTCCATGTATGATATTATGCAACAAAGCTTTTGTTTGCTGCTATTGACAGACTATGTAATTGAAGATTACAATTACATTTTACATAAATATTTTGCAAAGGATTATGTATTCTAAGTGGGTTAGCATAAAGCATTTGCACATGTCCCCAAATAGTACTGTTACTAGTATCTATAGTATCATTTTTCTTGAGCAACTATATCTAATCCAATTTAGAATAGAGCATAAATTTATTTATTCAAAAAGTGGTAGCAGACATACAAAATGTACCTAATACCAGTATCCAAAATTTTCTTTTCTATATTTTTAGGTTCAGAATGGTTAATTTCCTAATTATGCAAATGCTCTTTTTTGAGATTACATTTCACCTTTAAGGTGGCTTTTAAAGGATTATTTTTCTTTTGAGGAAAAAAAAGCTGACATGCTTAATTCAATATATGGCTGAAATTACATAATTTATAAATACCTCGATTTCATTAAAATACAAAAATGAAACTATTTTGATTGAGCAATTCTTTAGTATGAATATTAACTTCCTTCAAATACTCTATTTTTATATGTATTTTTATATGAACGTACACATAAATTTATATTTAACTGCCTTAAAGTATATTTAAATGCAAATATCACTTGATATAAACAATAATATAGGCATTTTACAGATGATAGATTATTTTTTAAGAAAATGGTACAGAATTAACTTAAAAATAAAAGATATTTCTGGTATCTTTATCTACATGCAAACTTCAGTTTTAGATTCTCTGAGATTTTTTTTAAATGTTATAAAATGTTATCATTTCCTGTAGCTGCTCCATCATGTTTCAATGTATCATTGACAGTATTTCAGCTGTTTCTGCATTACACTGTGACCTGGATTGTAGTAATCATCTGGCTGAGTTAGTCTGGTGTGTGCCTCTTCACCATTGAAATAATAATGGATTTTAGAAATAATTGTAACAATACTATTAATAAATGTCTTACTAGTAATACTCTGTGTTTGGAGAGTATCTGTTCTTTTCCGTTTCACTCAAGCTGTATAACCATACCAACAGTAGCCACTTGGCAGGGATATTATCATGTGGATCTAAGTAATGGAGTGTGATTAATAGGATACAGTATTTTTTCAACTTTGATAATCTCTAAGTGTACGATCAGATGAGCTCTCTGCTGTACAATAGCAAAAGCTTTTGAACATAGTTTAATGGCAATCTTTTTTTTTTTTTGAAGTAAGGCACTGAAATTCTAGAAAGCATTTTAACTATGCTATTATGGTTCAGATCCAAGATGTTTCCCAAAGACTCATGTGTTGAAGGCTTAGTCCCCAATGCAGCAGTGTTCAGAGGTAAACCTTTTAAGAAGTGATTGGATCGTAAGGGCTCCAACCTCATCAATGGGTCAATCCATTAACACATTCATAGATGAATGGATTATTATTGGGAAGTGGTGAAAACGGTAGAAGGTGGGACCTATTGAAGGGAGTGGGTCCTTGGGGACATACGTTTGGGGACTATATCTTATCCCTGGTCTCTCCTTTTCTCACTTCTTTCCACTGGCCCCCATGAGCAGGGTTGGTATCACACACCCCTCACCATGATATTCTGCCTTACCACAGACCAGAATCAATGGGTCTGACAATGGCTAAAACCTCTGAAATTTGGAGCCAAAGTAAATCTTTCCTCCTTCTTTTTCTTCAGTGTTTTTGTCACAGTGATTAAAAAGCTAATACATACACCTTGTTGAAGTAATAACATTTTATTTTCCTTTGGGGGAAATAAGTGTGTGTGTATGTATACCCACACATATTTGTCTATGTTTAGCAAGTTCCTAATTTGAGTGGGGGAAAAATAGGTATAAGCATTTTAAGGTATCTTTAGGTGTGAAAGTTACAGAAAGTATACTATTTTGGGTAAGAAATGATCAGTATCCAATCTAAAGAAAACAATTACAATATTGAAAGTCAGGAATAACTGCATAAACATTTCCAAGCATTACTGTTGACACTGTGTGTGAGCACATGTGCATAGGGGGTGAGAGTGGGGTTAAAGGCACATTGTACTATTTGCCAGTAGGCAAATAAGAACCCATAGACATAAAATGTAAAAGAAGGGCTTACCATCTCTTGTTTGTTTGGTTTACATTTGTATCAGTCAGTCTTTTTTTTTTACACATTTTTTTAGTTATTGATAGACCTTTTTTTATTTATTTATATGCGGTGCTGAGAATTAAACCCAGTGCCTCACACATGTCAGGCAAGTGCACTACCACTGAGCCACAGTCCCAACCCCTGTATCATTCAATCTTACTAATATTAATGGCCTATGTGCCTAGCAATCTTCTCTGTAGAACAGTAATTCCCACTTAGAGAGTGTTGGAAGATATCACTGGAAACAGTTGCAGTGAGGTTTATGGAGAAAAAAGAAAAACAAAGCTATTGTGCATCTGAAGTTTCTTCTTTCAAAGTGGCATTTCACTGGAAGATTCCAAAGAGAAATACAGAAATGTGTCAAAATTACATTACCAGTAAGAGTTATTTCAAAGCTGTAAGGTCAGGGTATGAAAGCAGGGGGGCAGGTATCTAATATAACAAGGTTAAGGAGCCTAAAAAGATAACCAGGGGTGGGATCTTCTTATCTCAAAGCTTCCTTCATTAGAATACATGCTGAAAAAATTATCATATCTAAAAGTTTTCTCTTGAATTTTCATCTTATAAAAGTATTTTAAAATCATTAAAAGCCATGTTCAAGACTATTACAATTAAAGTAAATAAGTGTAACTAAGTTCATATGAGCTGACAACTTCAATAACATGCATCCAAGTACAAAATATAATATAGCAGAATCTGCCATTGTGAATCAAGAAACAATTTCCGCAAATGCTAGTTTAATATTTGTTTTGTTTTATTTTGTTTTCTCAGTACTGGAGATAGAACACAGAGTGATCTACAATTGAGCCACATGCTCTGCCCCTTTTATTTTTTATTTTGAAACATGGTCTCAGTAAATTGTCCAGGCAGGCCTTGAACTTGTGATTATCCTGCCTCAGCCTCCACAGTGGGTAGGTTACAAGTATGGGTCACCACACTTGTCTTTACTTGAATTTTTTTTCTTTAATATGTACTTAAAAGTCAAAACCTTTTGATTACTCTTAGAAATGAAGGCCTTTTGATAGATCATTTTGGCTGAAGGAGATGAATCAGAAGTTGTCAGAATTCCTCCCAAAACTTACTAAAGACAACAGGATACTGCAAGCACCTACAAACTAGAGTTTGTATTTGGCAAGGCTTCCAAGGTTTCATAATGTCAAAAAGCCTTTTATCATGTTTTTACTACTACAGTAACAGCTATTATCAACTTCCATATTTCTTTTTATGATTCATCCCTTCATGTAAGGACGGAAGAGCTTTTTTTTTTTTCTAACTGATATAGACCATGCAGATTTCCTAAAATGATGCTTACTTGGTTTATTTTTATGTTCACTGAAATATAAAGAATTTATTTTATGACTTTACTAAATATCAGATCACTGAGCTTTAGCACATTCGATATATATAATGAACATCTTAATTCTTAGAACTCATCAAAAGTGTAATCTGTAAATCTATTTGCCATGTAAGAAAACATAATTATTTAAGACCAACTAATAGTAAAAACAAAATAGTCACATTTAGGAAAAAAACACTATAAAAGGATTCCTACAGGGTGGTAATGTTTAGGTAGATTAACTTTTGAGTTTGATTTATGCTGACTAGCATTTTATTGAAAGTCTGTAGTGCTCTCTGAAAAGAACTGTTTTCATTTAGTTTTTTAAAGTCTTTTTTCCGACTCTGTATAATACATCTGGGGAAAATACTGCATTTTGGATTAGGCAGTTAATATCTCTAACCAAGATATTTCCTTAGGTGATTTATGTGTAACATCATATTATTCTTTTTATTACAGGAAATTAAAATATATACTTTTGGTTACATGAAAAAGCAATTTATATGAAATCCATGAAAATATGTAGACATACTTAAAGAGTAAAGCAATTACAATTGATTACTGACATATCAGAATAAAGAGTTAATATGGTTTCATAAATATAAAATATATTCAATTGATTCTCAAATATAGAGTGAATTTTTTTATTTTATGGTTAGAGAAATGCATCAATTTGATTCAGCTTTTAATGCTCAGCTAAATTATTTAATGGTTATGAAATATGGTATATATATATATACAATTGAATATAATATATATATATATATATATATATATATATATTATATTCAATTGTATTTCTACTTCCTTTTTATAATAAAATCTGTTCTAAACCTGTAGATTTTTATAGCATCAAGGTCAACAATATAATTTTCTTTAAAGTCTCTAATTTTTTATTTGGTCCATAATTTGATGTCTTAAATATTAAGTCATGAATTTGGACACTAGAAAAATATTTTAAAATACTAAAATAAAATGAGCCTGTGCTGTGACTTGTAATGTACATGTGTATCTGCTGAGATCCATTTAAATGTGAAAGATTATTTGGTCTCTAGTAGATTTTTTTACCTATTACGCTGAAGGTTTGGGTTTCAGAATTCTGTGTCCCTTTTCAGCCAATAAGTGGGTATGAGAGCACACGCAAAAGGCCAACACTGAATCAAATGTAACCCAGGTGAATACAGGAGGCCCATCTCAATCAGAGAGGAGCTGAAAGGGAGTCAAAGCCCTTCACTTGGCAGAGACTCCCTCTCCTCTGTATTCTGCAAGAGTTAACAAATACGGATCACTTTCCAGATGCTGTTGACACATGGACCTCTCTTCAAACTTTCTTATTAACATGTATGTCATTTTGGAGGGTCTAATTCCATCTAAAAAAGTAAAAAAATCATTTTAAGTCTTTATTGGGCCAAAAATGATAACTCAGAGCCAAATAGCAGGAGAATGTCCTTCAAGTGATATTTTCCTCATATACCATTGGGAAAAAACAGAAAATGATCATCAATATAGTGTATCTCTGAAGAATCTGAAATGGTAAACCTATTTTTGAGTAAGTTGTTTTTTCACCCAGGGCATCAATTCATTTACCAGGACAATTCCTGTTTGTTCTTACCTTTGCCTTTAAAATGCAATTTTAAAGCAGTATTTTTCTGCATGTATTTAAATATGGAATACATGATACGTTTTAAAGCTTACATTTTATATTCTCCTCCTTGTCTTAATTACATGTAACATGAAGCTTATGTTTTAACAGGCATGGGATCTACAGTTTTATATTATCATAAAAGAGTTTATGAGTCCTTTGTTAAAAATCAGTACCATGTCATTGGCAGGATATGGAATTATTTACAGTTACTTCTATTTATAAGATAAAATTCGGTCTGAATTAAGAATAGAAGGGGGAGGCTGAAACAATAGTTTTGTAGCCTAAAATAAGTTCAGTTATCAAGTGGCACAGATTTGAATCCATAGGTTTCTACCACACGTGCATGCCCACTGGGCAAAACCTGGTATATGTTCACACTTGCTTCCAAAGGATACCCATTACAATGCTCACATTAGCTATGCAAAATCAGTGGCATGTTTTTAAAAGGGTGTGGATACAACCCTTAGCACAAGTTATTCTTGCCAAGAATAGGAATCATTTCAATAGGATGGGGTTTCCAGGACCATGTTATTGGTAAACACCCAGAACTCTCTTGGCCACCTATTTTATGAATAAATTGATACTTTCCATGAATTATTTATAAATTCTGAGATGGGACTGATACAGACATTGCATCTCAGTTTCCTGTTTCCCAGAAGAACCCATAATTTCAAGTGGGTGATTGGCTTAAACAGTGATTTTCCGTTTCCTGGGGTTATCATCAGTCTTTGAAGTGCTGACTTTCTTGAAATTGACTTCTCTTCCAATGGACGCTTCCCTGGGTGGGCATCTTCAGTAAACTCTTATCAAATACAGTAAAAATAAATGCCTTCCCTTCACCACTAGTCGAGGACTTGTTATGC